TGTGGAGGATTCGGGCCTAAAGCGTCCCTGAAGGAATCTTCTCTATCTTTCTGTTTTATCTCAGATCCTCCACTTCACGCTGCTGGGACACGTGCTGCAACTCTGCAGGATTAGACTGCATGGCTATAAAAGGCTTTTTTTAATCATATGATGATAATTTCCCAATCTAACTGAATTTCAACAGTGAAAATGTATAGACAGATTTGTTTCACAGTTCATCACTAGTTCTAATTTTTACTGTCTGTGTTTTCCCATACTTTCGCTGTGACTAAGCAAAGTCACAACACGCAAGTTATTCTGATTTCGCTGGATTTGTGCCATTTTTCACTGAGTCACGTGTCTTTATTTGAATGAAAACATCAATCTGTTGAGAGAAAATAGTCCTTGCAGATGATAACATATACAAAGAAACATTCAAATATACAGCATCATCCACATATCTTTTAATTAGCAAAACAAAACCCAAAAAAAGAACACCATGCTTGTCATTTGAACATTAAGTTAGAATCCAATCTTTCAAAAAACCTTGCGGACTGAGTAAAAAAAAGTGCAAATATATACAAAACACTTCATTGCAGCCAGCGTTGAACAGACTTATTCCTACAATTCCTTCAGACTGAATAACAAAAGAAAATATAAAACAATCCAAAAAAAACCCCAAAAAAACAAAAAGCAAAAAATAATAATTTAAAAGAAAACATTTGAACCAATAATTATACAAAATATATTTATATATTTATATAGAATTAAGGACTAGGCAAAGCAGTCATCCATTACTCAATCAGTCAGTCAATCAACCAGTCAATCAGTCAGCCAGTCAGACACAAAGCTACTTCCTCTCCAGACACATTGTTAATAAACTCCATATATCTTTGAAACTGTAAACAAGTCTGTTACGATATAATTGATTAAAACATTTGGGATAAACAGACAAAACCGACAAATAAATTAGAATTAATTCATCTGAGACAAAATGTATTTTTTTTTCTTCTTTTATAACTAGAACACTGACTGAAATGTAGTTATGGATCAAAAACAGACATTTTCTTCTACCGATTCTACTGAAAAACACCACAATTTATTTTTTTATCCCACTCACTCCTCGCTTCCTTACAAGTACAGGTGCTTTTAATAGTATGCTGTTTATCACTTTACAGACTGTAAGCGTCTCAGAACGGCTCTGAGTTCTGCTGTAGAAACTAAACAGGCGACTTCCGATAATATGGCTATCAGCCGAGGCCATTTTATTAAGACTCTCGAAAGAAAAAAGAAAACAGAAAAAAATGATTGCGCTTCTCAATAATAAAAGTTTTCTTACAGGCAGTGCGAATGCGACCTGGAGAAGTCTCCCCCCACTTCCCAACAGTACGTTTGGCTTTACTCACAGTTAAGAAAATCAGATGTAAACCTTATGATGGTTTCAACCAAGAGGTGCTAAATAGTATTCTTCTTTAGATCTCTTTTTTTTGGTGTAGGTTTATGATTAGTTTTGATTTCAGAGAGCGGTTTCTCCTGAATTTGTGGCCGTTTGCTGTATATACCTGCTCGGCCGCTTTGGAGCAGGCCATCATCAGTGATTTGAGGCGTCTCATGTTGCAAGAGCGTGAAATTGTACAACAGACCCAGATTCTATATGAGCTGACCCCGTTTCCTCCCACCGCAAACGCAACAAACAAAATGTTCAAAAGGATACTCCTTAATTATAATCCTGCAGCTTTTTAAATGTTAATGAGCTCCACATTTAGTTCAAAACATCTCGCCCTCAGACTTCCATGCGAAGTTTCGTGAAAAGTGATTTTGGCGCCTTTTGTTTGCCATCGATCATGAAACACGCAAAAACATGCCTTATGCTACTGTGAAAGAGATTCATGCTAATGTTTCTGTCCAAGCTTGTAAACAAGTCGGTCATCAGTACAATAGGCTGCCTCTGGCTTTACCAGCCTCCTCTGAAACAATGTTCTACCGTAAGCTGTAGATAAAAAATTGCAGGTTTGAGTTACATTCAATGAGTTTGTGTTCTTGATGGACCAGGATTTTCAAACTCTTAAAAATAAATGTGCTAAAAAATGTTTTTTGGACCAATGCCAGAAAAAAAATTACTTGGTTTCCTAAAGAACCTTACAAAGAACGCTTCTTTAAAGAACCAAGTCTGTTGATGAGAGTTGAGCGTGAAGAACCTTTTTTAAGTTAAAAGACCTCCCATATATTGTAAAGGTCCTGTAACAATTAAATCAGGGACCTTATTGTTAGCAGTGCAGGTAACTACAGTACTGTGCAGAAGTCAGCGATCACCTTTTATTTATTTAATTGTCAGTCAAAACAGCCCCATTAAGTACAAGATATTCATTTTTTCAGTGACATATCCCGAAAGAAAAGTTACACAGAAGCCTCAACAACTAACTATGATTTTTTCAGTATTTAGTGTTTCCACTCTTTGCCTTTATTACAGCTTCCATTCTTTTCAGGAGTCTCAATTTCAGTTTTAATAATTTTAATAATCCCAAACACATTCGGTGATGTTGAGGTCTGGACTCTGCAGTGGTCAGTCCTCAATCTCCTCCAGCAGCTTCTGTGTTTGGTTTGCACATTTTTTGTCTATTTTCTTTTCTCAGTAAGGGCTTCTTACAGCTATACATCCTTTCTGTAGAGTTGAGCTGTCTTCTCACAGTGAAAGGATGAACGGAAACAGTTTTGAAACTCTCTTCAGTTGTTTTCTGCTTTCCACTTTCCTTTATGCAAGTGGATTATAACTCATCTTCTCAGAAGTATCTCCTAACTTGTACTGATTGGATGACTACAAATGAAATAAAAGTTAAATAAGAGGTCTTTTACTTTTGCACAGTGCTGTACTTCACACCAGTAACCAACAAAAGCTACAGTATTCAATCAGTATTTATAAAATTCATAGCATCTGAAGTTTCATCCAAGTGGAAGTAGAAAACTCATTTGGAGGATTTCATTTTAGATAAGGGCCATCACAGCACACAAACCATATACACTGAACTTCACATCCACAGTGCTGAATGTCCTTGAGCATCTGCAGTTGAACTAAAAGCATAATTAATCAGGCCCACCCAGATTTGCCTACCGCTTGCAAGGACACTGGTCTAGACTCTAAATCCCAGCTGATGTCTGCTTTGGAGAGAGAGTTTCTTTTGTTTTCCTCTCAAGTCTGCTAGGATTGACCTTACTTGGTGTGCAACTAAAGCGTACGCTTTCTAAATCTGAATATTCAAACGAGAACTGTAGCTGCATAAATCCTAAAGCTTTCATTCCCCAGGGCTCAGGCCATGACAACCTCAGGAAAATATTTATCTGTCGAAAGCCTTAATGTGGGCCGGAATTTTTTTTGCAAAGATATGCTCAAATCACCAAATACTGTACATAAAATAGTGTACATTCTTGCGTTGTGAAAATAAATAACAATAAATTAGAAAGCACAATAAATACTCGCTCGGAAAAAGGGCAGAACTCAAGAACCGCGTAGCGAGAAAATAGAAAAGGCTGCAAATATTCTCCTAATTTACTCACTACACCTTCCCTCCCAGAGTACCTTGTGTTAACCGACGGTTTCCTGTTGATTTCTCTGTCGTCGTGGCAACAGAGAGCGACACCGCTGTCGTGAAAAAGAGGCGAAGTGCCTCGGATAAAAGAACACAGATGTCTTAAGGCCATGTTGTTTGCAAGATACAGATAGAACTGAACAATCTTCATTTAGATCAAGCTCGGAGAAGGATTAGCGATAAGGTTCAAGGGGACGACTGAGGAGATTTGAAAGAACAGTGGGGGAACATATCAGTGGCCCGTGGCTACTTATGGCCCAGTCACGTTCAGAAACTCCATCTTTCCCTATTGTGCTTGGTGTTTGATTGCGTACTGTACGTTCGATTTTGAAAATTGTGATTTCAACATACACAGAAGGAAATCAAAAAAGGATATTTACATGACCGAACGTGACCAACGTGTGGGAATTTAGTGTTTGGAATGGTAAATTTAAACACGCAAGGGAAATCTGACGCATGGCTTTCTGTTTTTGAACTTGACTTATTGCTCTTGATGGATGGATCTATTACATCAGGATGCTTGTTTATCAAAGTACAACACTTGAAGCCTTCCCAGTATGCTCAACAGGAAAGGACCACAAATCTGAGTTCACACTCCAAATCCTCACAGTAACACAGTGGTTTACAAAAAAAAGGAGGGACCAAGGTGGGGGTTACAATATCAAGGAAATAAATGAAACAAAAAAGGCCAGCCTGAGGCCATATTAGAGTTGGGGTTCAGCTTTAAGTCCGGACGAAACAGAAAAAGGCAAGCTTTGAAGGACACTGATCCACACCTCCTGATACGACCAGGTCCATTTGGCCCCAGATTCACAAGAAAAGAAAAAGAGAAAAAGAAAGAGAGAAAAAGGCGCTTTTTCGGTCTATGGCGATTTTTTTCGAGATGAGGAAGTGGCTCCTGTTCCCTAGCCCGACCTCAACACTCCCGCTTAACGCAGTTCCTCCAAATCCAAGGAGACCCCTGGAATAATCCCACCGATCGGGCTGCTCTGTAGATGCCCTTTTTGCCTGATGTTTTGACCCTTTTCTTTTCGTTCCTCTGTCCACGGGGCCTCTCTCAGATCGTTTTAACACACATGGTTTCGTTGTTTTTAAACTTTACTAAGGTTACTGCTTCTCCTCCTTTCTGCTTTCCCAGAGTACAAAGTCAGTTTTTTTTTCAATCCATGGCACTAGCTTCACAATTTAGCACGGTTTCCAAGGCAACAACATGTGCGCCTTTTCTCATTGGAATGTATCTCAGTGATCCACAGTTGTCCGCGTCCAAAAGTTTTTTTTTCTTTTTTTTTTCGGCAGTTTGCTTTTAAATGAGTGGCATTGGAAAAGGCCAGAGTGAGGAGAGGGGATGGGGGAGAGGGGTATAGAGGAAAGAGAGGGAGAGAAGAAACAAGAGTTAGAGAATGAAAAAGGAAAAACAAGAAAAAGGGCAAAGGAGTTGGACCGAGAATGAGAAGAGAGAGAGAGACAAAGTGTAAACAAGTGTTACACAAAGAGAGAAAGAAAGATTGGGAGAGAAAAGGACAGAGAGGAGGAGGCAAATAAAGAAAGAAAGATGGGTAAGAGGTCTCAGGGCAGATCCGGATGAAGGCGAGTGAGGGATCTTGGCTGCACAGGTTCTGGTCCAGAGAAATATTGGGCTTGGTGTGCTGTGCTGTGGTTCCTGTAGTGTTTGATTGTCCAGTGTCTTAGCCGCTCCACTTCTGCTCAAAAGATGTGGACATTCTAACGCCAGTAAGTTCCTCAGAGCCTTCCAGCCAATCTTTTCTTCTCTCCTCCCCTCTTTTCCTCTCCTTTCCCCTCCTGGTCCATCACTCCACCACTCTCAGCTGCTGCCAGACATCAGGTTGATGGCTTGTTCCAGTTTGTGTCTCAGTTTGTGTTTGCGGCAGTAACCGTCTCTGTCCAGAGCCGTCAAGATCTGTATGATGAGAGAGGGACAGAGAAACAGAGAGGAAGGGATAGAGAAACAGAGAGGAAGATATAGAGAAAAAGGGAGCAAAAGAGAAAGAGGACAAGAAATAGAAAGAGATAGGGAGGAGAAGAGAGGGCAAAAGAACATAGAGCATGAAGAAAATGGATGGGGGGAGAGAGGGCAAGAGAGAGTGAGAGGAAGGGGGAGAGAGAAAGAAAGAAAGAAAGAGAGAGAGAGAAAGAAAGAGAGAGAGAGAGAGAGAGAGAGACAGGCCATTAGCTGATAGACAGACACATGCACATACACGTGTACTAATTCAATATTCTATAGTAAGCTTTCTGGCCATGGAGCGTTTGATGAGGTTGAATGGAACTCAGGATGAATATGAAGCATAATCTCATAAGACGTGGACATCAAAATGGACCCAATAATGTTGAAATGTAATTTGCAATTCATGAGCCTCCTTATGCAACTTTAACAATCTCCCCAACCCCCACCACCACCTACACCCCCACCACCACCACCACCCCCACCCCCACCCCCTTAAAAAAAAAATTAACATTTGCTACAGAGTGGTCAAAGTAAATAAGAAATATAAATGGTACAGAGGGGAAAAAGATAAGTGGGATAATAAAAGATAAATGCGCTAATTAAGATTTCATTTGCATTTCGCAGATTGTTTTTTTTTTCTACAATGGAAGCAAAACATGTATTTCCAAGAAAACAAATGCCAAAACTAACCTATCAAGCCTCGGCCAAGTGAATGAAATTGTTTAGAGTAGTAAGTCATATAGTTAAATGGACGAGCATGTGGAACTGGAGCTTTCTGTGTGCTATTATGTTTTATATCACTGTATAAAAGAAGCTCCATGCTGCCTTTGTTGTTGGATGCACTATGACAGTTTCTGAGCAAGTGTGCACACATTCAGAATGCAATTCACATCACTGTAGAAATGCTTATTATTGATGTGTTTCATCAGAGTAACAATAAGTTACTCTGAAGTGTGAAATTTACCCTCAACTCATATGTTCACCCTCAACTCATATGTTCGCGTGCACAGTTTGTGGCACAAAAAATAAATAATCTATTTTTTTTTATTAATTTTTATAATATCATTTACATGTAAAAATATATACAGAATTGAGAATTCATGTTATTAACTGAGAAAATAGATTAAATGTCAAAAACAGCTGACCATTAAGGGTTAACCATTAGTGAAACGGAAAGAAGTGGCCTGAGATCTGTGTGAAACGGGTGTGTAAATGTGTAAATGAACAGTGTGAATGGTGTGCTTTTGCTTCTGAACCCACCTCCTCTTTGTACTTGTTGATGTAAAAATAGAGCTCATTGAGTGCGCTCAGTGTATTGAACTCGCTGCCATGGAGACGAGACTGCTCCACCAGATAGGCGTCCATGTCTTGATCACTGATACTGGGCATCTTACTGATGTCTCTGTAGTACCTGAAAAACACACATGCATGCACAAGATCAATACTCTGCTTATTACCAGCAATCAATGTGAATTTGCCAGCATGCGAAAATCAAACACGAGCTTATTGCAGTTGCTGAATTTGAGTGTCTATTTACAACGTGGCGCAGTGGAAGCTAATGAAAAAAAAGTGTTTGTCGAAGCCCGTTCTGTAACAATGAGCAGCAACATCCTCAGTAGTCAAAGAATGTAACTATGACTCAGAAGGTCAAGGGTACTGACAGGATACAGCACATTACCTCAACATGCTCCAGCCCCTGTAACTGGTTAACCCCTTTAGACTCTAGGCTTATTAATCAGTTATGTAACTACACAATAACTACACTGAAAAAATGATGCATGAATTCAAATATATATATATATATAAATATATATATATATATATATATATATATATATATATAAAATATATTACATTGACATTATTTTACCTTTGGCTATGCTGTGCTGATGTAATATATTTTATTAATGTGGAAATGATGTACAGATTTGAATCAAGTACTTTCAAGTAAAATGCATCACTTTTTCAGCGCACTATTAATTATTCAGTGAGCACCATGAAACTGATATTGAAGTTATGTAGTTACGAGAGTGAGGAGCTGAAGTGTGGGAGGAGTTTAAGCCATCTTCTCTTTAAGCGAAATCTAAATGGCGAAGAATTAAATAAAATATGCATAAAGGAGCACATAGTGTTTCCTACCTTTCCACCCAGCTTTTGTAGTTGGGGATGTCTTTAGCATAGAGTAGTTTGTTTGAGGGCGAGTCTTTGCCCAGGCGATGCTCTGACGTCGAGCACGAGTCCATGAAGGTCTGAGCCACCACAGACAGACAGGCGTCTGTGATGCTGCTCTTATGGATGTCAAACACAAACTGGGGGTTCTTTATGACGTTTACCCAGAATCGCAAGGGCAGGCTGCACAAGAGACAAAGAGAAGAGAAAATAAAGAGCGATCAAGATCATGAACTGCACAAACAAGACTAGCTGTCTTGCAATATAATCTACTTTGACCTGGATTTTTTACTGTTTTTATGTACATCGCCTTATCATAATTCCTTATGTATTCTTAAAGGGAAATAAATATTAAATGAAAGACATTAAATGTTTGGGTTTCCCGATATAGACAAAATATCATATTGGCATTATATTGTTACATATTGTGGCTGCAACATGCTCTGCAATGTTTTAAACAACACACTGGAGAAACTTTTCAGATTCTTCATTGTCATTGGAATGATTTATCGAGCCAAAATTAGCCTGTTATTTTGACCAAAATTATGTTTGTAGGATCACGTGACTGCCTCGATTCATTAAAGACCCAGATTCTCAGAGCACACAAAAATGTTTTGTGATTGGTTGGAGGGATCAGGTAAAGGCCAATATTACAATTAACAAATAGCATATTGTGCAGCCCCTTTAAATGTGACCAAAAATCACAAAATAATCAAAAATCAAGCAAACTCAGTAACCAGGACAAGAACTGAAAGTGTGTGCGGCTCACCAGTTGCTCTTCCAGGTGTGGCGCACATCTGGGTCACTGATCTGTCTCTTGTCTGCCTGCTCATCTAGAAAGTCAAACATGTACTTGATGGCCAGGGGGAGGGCACTGCCACGGTGAGCCGTACTGAACACCGTCTCAAACAGGTCATCCACAAACTTCTGTAGAGTACCCTGATAACACAACACATCATATTATTATATTAGCATACTCTGATCAGCACAGACATACACAAACACACCATTAAATGAACAGCTGGGCCAAACATGCTAATGTGGCTAACAAGAGCTAGTAGCCACCAAATAGCATGATGTCATTTGCATAATGCTAACAGGCCATAAGTTTTATTACACAAATTTATAACCTAAGAATAGCTCAGCCAGGCCCTGTAAGTACTGAATAAGAGGCCTTAGTACGTAATAAGCCTTGGATTTTAAGGGGTTAAAATCATCTTCTACTCTGTAAGCAGACGTCCTAATCTTTGCTCTTGGCAAATGTAATCAAATTAAACAAACATCTGCAGAGTCACTTGGAGAAGACACATTACTCATACATAAATCTTCCTATCGTAGCATTGTATATTAAACACAGCCTACACATACACAAGGTGTCTCATGATTCACAAAATTCATTATTTGATTCGATACACTGCAGTAGTGTCTTGATTCGACATGTTTTTGATGCATTAAAACAGACATGTCAAACTGGACACCTTCTGGGCCAAAGTACTGCAGAGATTAGTGTTTATCCTCATCTAGTGCTCTGAATTCAGTTCATGAAGGCCTTGCTAATTAGCTGATGAGCTGAATCAGGTGTGTTTATTGAGGTAACGTGCTGAAGTCTGCAGTGTTTTGGCCCAGCTGGACTGGAGCCTGACACGTGCATTAAAAATAAGTGGCTGAATATGTGCCTTACATTAATGAGTTGATGTTTCCAGGTTCAGGTTATTGAAGCATTCAACATTATAAAAGTACAGTATTTGAAACAGCAGCTGTGCTTTGTAGTGTCCTGATCTAACCACAAACTAATGTTAGCTGGGCCTGTTTGGCTTCATTCAGCTGAACCCCCGTGCGATTGCTCTGTTAGTGTAATTCTTTAGAACAGGTGAATACGCAGCCTTGTGAACACTGTAGAAACAAATTAATGCAAGAACCCAAGAGAAAGCCTTGGAGTGAGAATGCAAAATGCCATCACAGCACATGATCTCAAATCTGTCCTATCACAGTGTGGGCCGTTACATGTGGTTTTGTTATGATCACATTTTGTGCTCAAGCTGTTGCTTTTTACATATAAAATGCCCTATTATTCAGCCTAGTATGTACCTAGTTTACTGGGTCTCTTATTTAATTTAAGTTGGAATTGTACTGTTATTTTATTAATTTTACTTTTTCGTATAAACTGTTTTAGCTTTCCAATGTTCTGCTTATCCCCCCTGTGTAAAGCATTTTGAGATTTTATAACTAAAATGAAAAGTGCTGTATGCACAAAATGCATGAAAGCATTTCTTTACTTTTGGTAAACGTCATTCTGAAACCTGAGAACTGAACTACAGGTGTGAAAGCAAGTTAGCCAGCTTCATGGACCAGGTGCCTAGACTAGGAGTTCACCTATACCATGATTTACATGTTAGGGTGTTTGAGCTTGTTGCTGTTTTTTTTGTTTCCTGATTAAGAGTTAAGGTACAGTGAGATAAGTGAATACCTTTGTTGCCAGGAGACGTGTGAGGTAAATCTCGGACACCATCTTGCTGCCGCGATCGCCCTCGCGCTGGTCTGCATGCTCGTGGTTTTTCACCAGGTGCCACAGCTTGGTGCCCGTCTCCTGATCTGGAGTAATCATGGGCGCTCGAGACCGCAGGCTGTCCGGACTGCTGGAGGTCCTCAGCAAACTCTCTGTATCAGAACATAATATAACAACATTGATACAAACATATTATGTCAGATAAGAGGGTGTTCACAGATTGTTACTCAGTGTACCTTCAGCGAAAAAGATTGCTGTCTGGTATTATTGTCATTCTTCGTGTCTTACTGAATATTAAAGTGTCTAGAAAAGCAAAATGTACCACAGCGGCTACATTATTAAACGCAGAATAATGATCTTTCTTATTAAAAAGCAGTTTAGCTGCTGTCCAGCAGATGGTTTAGTGTGAGCCTGTCAGACTTCCAAAGATTACATAAGTATGTAGCTTTTGGGCCTCAAAAAACAGTCCTGTGTAAATGAACTATACTGCTATAAATTGTCAGTATATTTCAAAATACTTTCAAAATATAAATATATGTAATACAGTACTGGACAAAAGTCTCAGAAACCATCCTCCATTTTTTTTTTTAATTTTCAGTAAAAGCAGCCATTAACTAAGTTATTTTTTTCAGCATAAGAAAGCATGTTAGCTGTCAGAACACAACCTTGAAGGAAACAACATTCTTAACTTGTAATGTAAATTAATGTATTATGACTTTTCTCTACATCATGCTGGATGCAATCGTCTGCATGAAGTGTTAACACAAGGCAAAGGACAACTAGAGTTTTTAAATTATGTGAAAAAAGTGTTAAAAAATGATGAAAATGGAGATCAGATCAGACAGAAACACTGTCAAAGATAAAAGCTTTTGTGCTGTTTATCTGATGGGGCAGTTTTAGTGCTTTACCAGGTCTTGCATGGTTGTTATGAGTCCCATTTTCTGTGTAGCTTCTATTACAAATACCTTTTAGTTCAGTTTTCCATTTGACTTTCTCCTTCGTTGAAAAAATGAAAAATGAATAACTTGCTGCTTTGACTGGAACTTTATAAAATAAAGGGTGGTCTCGGACTTGCGCGCAGTATTGTATATTTTCAGTATATCTTTTTTTGTATGGCCAGCTTTACAAGTGTCCACCTATGTGTATGTAACATGGTACGTGGAAATTGAACTGCCCTTTCACACTGATCCGAAACCAGTTTTACTGTTTCTTTAATACAGTGGCTTCAGTTAAGGATTTGAGCTGATCCTAGATCAGTGGGAAAGAGCTGTTTGTGGCTCGGACAGCATATGGCTGGTGAGGGAAGGAGAAGGCGAGGAGTTCTGTGTGCTGGAAGGCGATCAGAGAGCACTGTGGCGCACCGTATCGGCTGAGAGAACGCGTGAACGTGAAGGAGTTGGCGATGTTGTATGCAGACACTTGCTTCTGAACCAGAGCCACCACAGAGCCATCTGCCACCTGCGTGGAGGAAAGCAGAAGAGAATCAGTAACTAATGTGAGAGACATCTGTATCTATTGCATGCGTCTGTTCGCTTGAGTGTCTTTCAGTGTCTGTTCGGCATATCCATTAAACAGCAGTGCGAGGAGAGGCTGTGGGCTTATTGAGCTTATTGAGTGCTTCTTGTTGTCTAACCTGGTAGTGCGCTAGTGTGTTCAGTCTCTTCCAGTCGCTCTCGATCTTCGTGGTGACATCTTCGTCTTGAAGGATGATTCTGGTCAGCCGGCCCTGTCTCCATTCTGTTGGAGAAACAAACCACTTGATAACAGCTACAGCCTTTGTGAAGTGAGAAAGTGCTAGAACACTGACACTGTTCAGTGATATTTACTGATATTTCAAAATTAATACATGATTAAGTGGGTAAAATATAAACAGAGTTATTCAGAATGGTTTGATGTGAACTGGTTTCAGAATTGTTCACAGTGGTGGTGACGAACAAGGTGTCTGAAGCTTTAATGCCTTTCAAAGCTCCTTCACAGGAAGTTATTACATCAAATGGTTATAAATACACTGTCTGATGAGATATTCCTACAATAGATTTGATGAAAGAAAATGTACTTTTTCAGATGTATCAACAGAGGAGCAGTACATGAAGGGGGATGTAGATTTATCATTATTTTACCATTATCAACATTATCACATATAAAACTTTTAGACAAATGGTTTTGAACAGTAAATAGAATGACTATATTTGTGTTGCAGACATTGGTGACCCCGGTTCCTATTACCACCACCAGAAATCCGAGTGGGTAGGTTTCTCCTAGTGAACCATTTTGCAGCAAACCACGCTGAAAGACTGTTTACATATCAATGACTGAATTACCCTTTAATCACAATCCTGGACTAAATGAAATAGCTCAACCAAAAATACTAATATGACTAACACTGAAAGGATGCCAACCGCTAACTGGCATGTATTTATTACTGTAATGCTAATAGCCGGATACTGGCATTCACTGTTATTTGCAACATTAGATGATAGTTTGACAAAAAGAAGTCACATATACACAAATATATACAATCAGCAAATACATATTTGGTGACATAAGACATTTAATTTGCTTCTTTAGCTCTGCACTGGAGTTATGAGGCTAATATAGATATCAAGTCATGGAAGCTTATACCTCACTAATTCTAATGCAAACTGCATGGGTAAATTGTCACGCATTTGCCTCAAACCATGAATGACATACTGTTAAAAACAGACACAGGTACAAACCAAATTAAGGCTTCTTAGCCGCTACTAGGGCTGAATGACTTGCGGAAAATATCGAATTGATTTGAAACTGCGATTTAAATTGCAATTCTTTTCTGTAAGTTAAGATCCCTGCCTGTTTAGATTAAGTTACGAAGGTTAAGAAAATCCACATATCCAGTTTTCTTCTGGCTTGAGGCTTAAATGGTGAATGCAGTACACCAGACTGCCAGTTAGTTGTGGTTGTGATGTCACGGCACTTGAGTGCTTGGTTGCTTCTGATTGGTCTGACCAATCCATAGGCATTCCACTCTTTCTTTGTTATTAGGTTCAATGTCCCCCACTTAGCGCACAAACAAGCTTGTTAATTGTTGTTGATAATGTAAGCCAGATTAAAATTTCAGCTCTCATGATTTGACAACTGCACTTGTTCAAATTGCGATTTTGATGTATAAATGAATTTTTCAGCCCTGGCTACTACTACTACTCTTCTTAGCTATGCAGTGTACTTTTTACATTTCTTACATTCCAAAAGTAAACTTTTATGAGTTTATTAGTTAATTATATCTATATATGGGTTCAGACAGCTGTGCTGGTTTCTGTGCCCATACCCAGGTCCATGTCATCAGCCTGTGGTCTCTGTGAGTAGGGGATGCCTTTATAAACAGCGTCCAGGAGCTTATCCTTCACCTGGGTCACTGTGTCACAGTTCAGCACCTTCACTGGAACCTCAGTACCTGCCTCACCCTCTGGAGGAATACACATCAGAGTCTGGGGAGAGAGAGAGAGAGAGAGAGAGAGAGAGAGAGAGAGAGACAGAGACAGAAAAGAGAGAGGTTGAGAGGTGGAGAGAAAAGGAGAGAGGGCGAAAGAGTAGAAAAGAGAGGTAGTGGCATGATGGGTGGAGCGAGAGAGAAGGGAAAGAGAGAGAAGGGAGATGGAAGTAAGAAAGGGGGAGATGAAAAGAGAGTAGTAAAAGAATAATGGGAGAGTGAAGGGTGGAGGGGAAGAAAGAAGGGGAGAGAGGAATAGAAAGAAAAAAGGTTGAGAGGGAAGAGAGCAATAGGGAAGAAGAGAGAAAGTAAGAAAGATGTACAGGGAGAGAGAAAAAGGAGATGGAAGTAAGAAAGGGGAGAGAGAGAAAAAGGTTGAGAGGTGAAGAGAAAGAGTAGTAAAAGAGAGTGATGGTAGAGTGATGGGTGGATGTGGAAGTAAGAAAGGGAAGAGAGTAAGAGAAAGAAAAAGGTTGAGAGGGTAGCGAGAGAGAGCAATAGGGAAGAAAGGAGATGGAAGTGAGAAAGAGGAGAGAAAGAAAAAAGAAAGGTTAAGAGAGATGAAAAGAGAAAGAGTAGTAAAAGAGTGATGTAGAGTGACAGGTGGAGGGGGAAGAAAGAAAGGGGAGAGAGGAAGAAAAAGGTTGATAGAGATGAAAAGAGCAAGTAGTAAAAGAGTGATGGTAGAAAGATGAGTGGAAGGGGAAGAAAGAAAGGGGAGAGAGGAAGAGAAAGAAAGGTTGAGAGGGGAGAGAGAGCAATAGGGAAGAAGAGAGAAAGTAAGAAAGATGGAGAGAGAGAAAGAAAAAGGTGGAGGGGGAACGAGGGAGAAGGAAGAAGAGAGAGTCGGAGAATGATGGGTGGGGAGAGAGAGAGAACGCTCATTAGCACTTAAAAAAAGCAAGAGGCAAACACATTATGACAAGTGATGAGATGAATAGCGAAGTGCATTCATCCCTGCATCGTTACAGACGCTCTCCTGCTTGTGTGGAAGGTCTAGACAGTGATGTGTGCTCGAGTGTCATACATTTCCATTAGAAAGTGGAGGCGTCTCTGTAGATTTAGAGGGCGATCTGCCCGGCCCTGTCTGCCCCTCCTCGATCAATCCACACGCTCTTTCACGCTTCAGCCCGATTGATCAACACGGCGATACAAACATTAAGCGTGATGTCACTGCTGAAGACTCCATCTGCTGCCACACAGCGTTCAGGGCGGAACAGATGGAGAGGCTTTTAGGAAACGTTCTCAGATCGATTGAAAAAATGGAAGAGAGCATTGACCTGGCCATAAATGAGAACTTGTGTAGCACATATTGTAGGTAAAACAGGGATATGAGAACCAAACCAGGCAGAAAGCTTTCAGCAGCGCTGATCCACATCACTTTCTACATCACAGTCACAGCCTTTGTATATTAAAGTCTACAGCTGTCAAAATAGAGGTAGAAGCTGTACAACTTTTAAAACACTGGTTTGCATGCAGATCAGCTTTGCACACACAAGTCACTCAGTTCCCTCTGGTCTGAAGTCTCACCTCTTCAGGCAGGACTGAAGTTAACACCTTACTGCACTCTTTCGCACTTAATCCCTGCACTTTACCTGCACTTAAAGGTCCCATATCAGGTAAAACCAACAGTAATTATGCATTAAAATGTGAAGTATGTCTCTGTAGAGGATGTGTTCACTTGTTTTTAACTTATAAGCATCATCATGCAAACTGCTGATTCTGCAGTGGACCATCAAAATAAAGCATAAACAATGCTAGTTCACCTGTTCTCCCTATTCTCCTTTACACAAAAAGGCAGGAGGGGTGGGGTGATACGGCAAAAGTAACACGATACCTCAAGGCATTTTCATGATACACAATATGTCTTGCCATATTTAGTTTTTCTGACGTATGATAAGTTGGAACACAAAAACAAGCCAACAGTGACCCATTAAAAAACTTTATCAAAAACTTTGAACATGACCTTCATTCATTGTTTCACACACCTTGCTGCACTGAATCCAGTTCTACAGGACTAATCATGGTGTCTTTTAATGAGATATGCAGTTGTTCATTGTTCTTTAACACCTATTGATATCAACAATATGCTCAGAAAAGCATACTGTGGCCTAATTTATCATGACAGTGGTCATATATATCATCATATTGCGAACTCCAAAAAGGCCACAGTGCCCTGTATCACTGGCAAAGTTGCAGTAAAGAAGCTGCTGCTGATTATGTCTTGATAGATCTGCATTGTGCGTGTTCGCGTGATGTTATCAGTGCCTGTAAATTTGTGTGAGGACCCTGATAGCATCACACTGTAATAGCGCAGGCGGGTTGTGTTAATCAGGTCATTACTACAACGCACCTGGCGCACTCAACATCTGCAGCTACGACCTCTCACTGATCATTAGCTAAAGGCTATTCCAGCTCTCCTCTGGGTCCCAACTTGCTACACACACACACACACACACACACTCAGAAGGAATTTGTGATTAAAACTCAATTACACAACACATTACAGAGTCCTCACAGAGGCGGCGAGGGAATATATTTCGGGGTCTAGAGTGAGATTTGGTTAAATCTCAGCGCTGGGAGAGATTAAGCAGTTTATGAAAGATGTTTTTACAGTCTGTTTAGCAAACACACATGTAGATGAGATCATGAACCCATGAACCAGCTTTATACACATTTTCCAATTATTATATTTGAATTGAAAGCTCATTATTATCTTGGTCTTTTGACCAATTACATTCAATAAGACCGAGACAACAATATTTTCCTGTAAGAACTGATTTGGTGTCAAGTTTTACTGAACCTCAAATAATAAACAAGTTAACAGCACAGGTTATGGTTAATTTACTATTACCATCAAAAATCATTTTATATTTATATTTTTTTGATTTTTAACTTTAAACCACAATAGTTCTGTTAAACAGTTAAACAGTGCTTTATTAATAGACATAATTGTTCTCAAATAGTCACGCTTTCTGAACTCAAACTTGCAGTCTTACATAATATTAACGGCCAACAGATACATGGGTCAGGCCTAGTACGAAGTATTGTTATGTATGCTGTAATGGTGAACTAAGGCCAGTCTTTAAACCTCATACCCTAATGAATATGATTCTGTGAACAGTGAAAAACTGTCCTCTGGGTCTTGACCTTTACTGACAGTCCCCAAGGACAGCGTCTTTAAGAGGATGCATGACTGCAGTGTCTATTGATTCCTCTAAGCAGATCCAGCCTGAATTTGCTGCCACTGAAATGCTACTGCTCTCCTATGGCTTTAAGTGATACACTGGGACAATAAAGGAATTAAGCTCACTCAGGTAATGCACACCATGCTGTTTTATTAGGTCTCTCGCTCGAATTCTCTCAAAAGAGCTCATGCTTAAATTCCTCACCCTCATAACTACATAACTTAGATATTACATGGTAGTTACTAAGTCTTTCATAGTGGTTCTTGAGTATTAAGTCTTAAGCGTAAATGAATACTATGTGTGTAGTTTTAGGAGTTAAATAAATTACTAACTGTTTAAGTTCAGCATTTTCTGCCAATGCTGGCTGAATGAAGACAGAACCAGAGGATGTGTCTGGGCTGATGATTCATCTGTGGGTTTGTTTGATTGGCCCTGAGCAGGTTAGACTGAGACTAAAGCTGTTCTACATTTGTCAGTGAAGTTCTAGAATGCAACAATTGTTAAACTACGGTGGCTGAGAAGACGCAAAAATCCGCAAATAAAAAAACGAGCTGCAAACGCAGAAAACACTCATCAAAATGACAACATAGGCACTGCACTTTACAAACGTGCTGCAAATTCGTAGACACACTGCAAACTCAGAAAACACTTTCATCAGAATGACGACACGAATGCTACATTTCATAAACGCGCTGCAAATACAGAAACACATACAGCTTCAGAAACACTGATAAGCCAATCACAACAAAACGGAGGTGTTTCTGGAGGACACTCAGAGAGGACGGAGCCATTCAGACTTTTACATTTTATACAGCACAAGCATTCACTGGTAAAAGTCAGTTAACTTTTTTATTTGAGTGGATTACTGACATCACTGTATCATAATGGGAATTAGCTGTAGAGTGTAACTGTAAACGCTAGCTTAGCTATGACTCATCAGATAGCAAACTAGCAAGCCAGGTTAACCATGAACTTAGGATGTGAGTGTCCAAGCATCTGTGGTCTTCTCTACTTCTGTCAGTGATTTTCCATCATAGATATTCCATCCACTTTGAGTCTTCCAGAGACATTTCCGTTGCGTTGTGACTGGCTTTGCAGTGTTTCTGAAGTTGACTGTGTTTTCTTTATTTGCAGCACGTTTGTGAAATGCACCTCTGATATAGTCATGTTGATGAAGTGTTTTCTGTGTTTGCAGTGCGTTTATGAGTTGGCAAAGTGTTTTTAATTGTACTATGAATAGGGACTTGTCAGTCACCGTAGTTAACTGACCAAAACTATTATTAATATCATCTATAACTGCAACAGTAAGAATAAAAACAAAGTAATAATACTAATAATAAACTATGCACATGGAAATCCAGTGCAAAAGTGGGTGTACTCATTTTACATGCAGAGTGGCATAAACAAATGCTGCTATTATTCAATGTTCCATTTAAAGACATATGTGCTTACTACCGACACCATCCACAAATAAACAATACAAAACAAAATTTAAATATGCTACTGTAGGAAGAGAATTATACTGGACAATCACACCATTGTCTTAGAAAAAAAAAACAAAAAAAGACATTTCAGACATTTCACATTTAGGCTCCTCCTCTCTGTACCTGCTGCGCACGTATCTTGTCTGCTCTCTGGTTCTGGTGGTAGGTTCGTCTGAAGTTGGACACTGAGTTTACAAGGCATTTTAATTGTACTATGAATAGGGTCTCGTCAGCCACAGTATTAAACACCACAGTAAACAGAACTGTGGGTTCCATTATGAGGTTACAATGCCGGGTCCAATCACGATGGGCTATGTGCAAGTAAAACAAAACTGAACTAATCTGTGTCCATTTTTCTCTACCTTGAATGACTTTTTATGTGGAAAAAGTCCCCACTGCTTCTTTCTTCTGCTTTCTATCCCTCTCCCCTCTCTCTTTCTCTCTTTATTCACTACATGGCCTGGCCTCATCTGTCTGATTGGCATTTGAGCTCTGAGGGCCGTATATATTTCAGAGGCGGTGGAGGAGCTGAAACCTTAGTAACTCATCTATCATAACCAGGGGAAAGCGAGCGAGCGTGCGGTGAGTGCAGAATAATAGTGAGTTTGGTGATACGTGCTGCACTTTAAGCTAACATCCCTCTGCCTGAATGTCAAAGAGAGCAAACTGTGCAGCACCTCCTCATTGTAAACACAGATCGATGGCTGGCTTGATAAACAATGCGCTCTAATAACATATTTAAGGGAAATCTTTCGCACCTTATTTGCTCGGATGTGTATTTAATTACTGAGCTAAACTGAAACACCTGGCTCCTCGGTGGAGCTGTGGGATGGGGCTGGTGGGAGTGGGAAATGGCAGAGGGATTATGGGGTGGGATCGAGCGGAGGGGACACTGACCAGCTGCTTATAGTCGATCTGCTGTCGAATGAGCTTGTCCTCGCTGAGGGAGTAGCGTGCCTCTCCGGTGATCGCATCGATAGGCCCCTTCTCCATCTGTTGCTTTATAGCACAGTACAACATGAAGAGAGGCTCTCCAGCACATTCCTGCAGACAGAGAGAGAGAGAGACAAAGAGATAGAATGAGACAGAGAGGGAGAGAGCAAGTGAAAGACAGCAAGTAAGAGAGACAGAAGGAGTGAGATATAAGGAGAGGAAGCGAGAATGAGAGGGATGAAGAGAAAGAAAGAATGAGAAAAGGAGTGAGAGAGAAAGAGCAGAAGTAAGAAAGGTGGAGAGAAGGAATGAGAGGGATAGAGAGAGAAAGAATGATATATAAAGGGACAATGAGGGAGAAAAAGACAGATGAGGAGAGTGAGAAGGAATGAGAGAGGGATATTTAGAGAGAGAGAAAGAATGATATATAAAGGGACAATTAGAGAGAAAAAGATGAGGAGAGTGAGAAGGAATGAGAAGAGAGTGAGTGAATGAGTAAGTGAGAAAGAGTTAAGAGAGATGGCAAGAGGGCAAGTGAGAGTGAAGGAATGATCAGGAGAGAGAAGAAAGGAGGAGTTAGATGGAAAGGGGAAAAGGAGTTAGAAGAAATTATATAGAGGATGAGGGAAAGAGAGTGAATGAGAAAGAGAGAGCAAGTGAGAGGGAAGGATAGAAGAAAAGTGAGAGAGAAAGGGAGAGTAGGAAGGAGATAGAGATGGAGAGAGGGAGAGAAGAGAAAGATGGGGAGAGACAGCGAGAAGAAATGAGAGTGAGGGAGAAAGGGGGAATGAGAGAGCAAGTGAGAGGGAAAGAGAAGAAAAGTGAGTGGAAGGAAAGAGCAAGAAGGAGATGGAAAGAGGAAGGGAAGAGACAAAGAGAAGGAGAGAGATGGGAAAGATAGCGAGAAGGAGAGAGAATGAAAGGGATAGATAGCAATAGAGCAAAAATGAAAGGTAAAAGGATTGAGATACGGGGGGGGAGAGAAAGAAAGAAGGGGCGAGACGGATAGAGTTAAAGTGAGGTTGAGAGAATGAGAGAGTAAGAAATGTAGAGTTAAAGTGAGGTTGAGAGAATGAGAGAGTGAGAAATATAGAGTTAAAGAGAGCAAGAATGCAAATGAGAGACACAAAGAATGATTAGAGAAGGAGAGAGAGAGAAAAAAGAAAGGAGTGAGAGAGAAAGGGAGAGAGGTGAGAAAATAATTGGGAGATTTTAAAACGCTGTCATCAGAAACATACTTAAGGGTTCCGTTCTCAAGCAAAGTCCCTGAACGGCAATCAAATATTACACAAATCTGTAATTTTCATTTTTAAGCATGCATTAAAAAACAACTCCATGGCCTTTAACAGGGCAAATGCATTAACTCCATGATTGACAGACATGGAAAAAAACACCTGAGGTGCGAGGTACAGGTACAAAAAATATGAGAGAGGGAAAAAGAAAGAGAGCAGTACAGCGATGGTGATGAGACAGACAAGTGACTCTAGATGCCCAATCACATTCCTTTTTAGATGGCATTTGCAAGGAGCGAAGAACTCGCCAATTATCCACTTAAAAGCTATTGATGACTAAGCAGCGATACTGAGGGAAGGCCATTATTTAGTCCTTAGGCAAGATCAGCTTGACATTATTAATTACAGCCTGACATCCTGATTCACACTCTGCTACACAAGAGAGGGAGAGGGAGAAGGAGAGGGAGAGACAAAGAAGAGGAGGAGTGCTCAGACCCTGTAAACCTTTCTGATTGAGCGCCATCTACAAACCTATTCACAAAGATGAGGTGAATCTCAATACTTGCAATCTTTTCTGCTCTCTTTTCAGCCTCAGTTCTGTGAGAAATCTGTACAAAGCTGTAAAAAAGCCACCATGACAAATATTGACGCTAGCGGTAGCGAGTTTATGTGCAGTTTTGTTTTTGGCACCGAGGCGTTTCCCATACTGACCTCCGGAAAGCTGCATCTCCATGGAGCAGTGTCGGAGGATGGATGTATGTGGCAGGGCTTTGCGATCGAGCCTTAAGTAAGCTTGTGGAAGCATTTCGGAGTAATTACTCCTGGAGGCCGGGGTGGTGGCCAAAACACTTTAACATCTGCGCTGATGGGACTTAAATACACTTGGCGGCCAGCCAGGGCTGCATTCCGAGGGGGCATTTCCATCCCGGAGTGCACAATAGGCCTGATGTTGCCGGCCTTAATGCGAGTGGCCGTCTGAGGAGCGCTACCGCAGCATATGCGAAGGGCGGCCATTTTGCTCTGAGGTCTGGGGCCACCTGACAGGATGTGGGTTTGAGAGAGTGCCCTACAGGCCTCCGAGGGCTCATTTCAGGCTTGAGCTGAAACCGTGACGTTCCTGAGGCTAGGCCTGAACAGGATTTATAACACCTCTGCCATTAGTCACCACGTCAAATGCATTAGCACAGCCAAATCTCCACTTACAAATCAAACAGGGTTCTAGCTAGCCAGCCTGGAGACCGTATAGCTGGACTGTATAGTTTCAAGCATTAAGAATGGGTCTATTCATGATCAGTACATCTGACTGAAAATGATAGCCTGAAGAAACTCCAAATGTAGTCATATTTTGGGTAAAGCTTATTTCTTTTGTTAGCTAAAGCAGTAGTAGGAGCCATACTAAAGCCTGAGTTTGTCCATTTGTATATATTATGTCATTTTTTATGTTATTGTGATACAGCGTCACATAAGCAAGTCTCACATCAACTTTTGAGGCATGTGCGTAATGACTTGTACAATTTGCCTGCTAATTTGTTCCATACATTAGCATCTTAGTTAGCGTGGAAAACTACACAAGCAAATTTCAGACATGAAAGTCTTGGCTGATACACTATGTTTAGGGTGAAGGACAAATTAGTGGAAAACCGTAATTATTAGTCCTAGGCTTTTAATTTGGGCCATGATTGTTTGGGCCACGATTGTTTGGGCCACAAAGTTCAGTAATAAAACACCTCAGCAATAATGCTAATTTCTGCTAGTGCCGCTGGGATTCTAGTAGTTTGTTCTGCTCTAGCTGTTCTAAATTAAACATCTGAAGCTTGTAAAAGACAAAAGTAGCAGTTTTACAGTGACTCTTTCAGTAAACAGTCCTGGCATAAGCATCCTGCTGCTGTTTTACATTTCTTAAAACTAGCATTGGTTAAGCTACCACACATACTTAGTCAATAATGTATCTAGAACTTCCACAAAACATTTCCCACCCTTAGTAAATCAAGCTGTGATTGGTTAATTCCACGGTAACTTGAATGATACTGGTGGTTAATTGGATGTGTAAGGCCCTCAGATGAAGACCTAACCTATGAGAGTGCTCACTTGACTGTATCTGCCTAGATACCACCATGAAAAAAAATCCTGATTTGGACAATATTCCAGTGGGCATTTCAAGAATTAAACCCATTTGTCTCCAAACAAAACTTAAAAAAATAAAATTAGTACTATTTAGGGGTGCGGGAAAAAATCGATTCTTAGATGCATTGCGATGCGGACGTGAACGATTCTGAATCGATTCACATATGTCAAAAATCGATTTTCTAAATATTTAATTTATAACAATGTTGGCGGAACGCAAAAGGCGGAACTTGGTGCGGAAGTGCAGCGCCTGGACTTGGCGGCACATAACAGAAAGGCACACGTATGACTGAGAAATCCGACCGGCTCCCTCTGCATTAAAAGCCAGGTTAAATCAGGAGTCACAGCCCAAATGTTAAGAGCCATTTTATCCTTTAAACAAAAATCAGACCACCTTGGCAGCCACAACATTTATGTCCAGTATGTCTCAGTACATGTAAATGTCCTAGTATAAGTTAGGTTAAAAAATATAAACAAAAACGCGGACTTACTCTGTTGTGCTTTAAGCTTTAGCTATAGCCACTTTCCTCCCATCTCTGCCAGAAAACTTTTCTTGAGAAGTAGATCAGTTTCTCGTAAAATGTCTTTCAATGTTCAACTGTTTTCCGAGGCTGAAGTCGCTTCTCATTCTCCAGCTTCTTGTTTGAATTTTCCCGTTCCACCTTAAATTCTGCCTGAGGCGCCGAATGTAAATGCGGCACCATTTAAGGTGGAACAGGACAATTCGAAAGAGAAGCTGACGTCATCTTCACAACTTTTGTGTTTGACAGTCTCTCGTTGCAGAGAGTTACCAGGAATCAACTGCGCTGCTTATAAATGCGAATAACGCATCGTGGCTAGGTGACCTGCAGTCTGCCAGTTCTCAGTCGTTGCGAAACAGGGCTTTCGCGCTATGCTGCACACGACCTGTCTCAAAGATATTTTACTGACACAGCGGACCCCCCTTCTCGTCTCTACAATGAACGAGACCAAAACCGAAATTATAAAATCACTGAATTAAACGGGTAGGACGGCTGTAACGTGCTGCGTGGTAAATCTGTCACTGCCACAAACCTTGAGAAAGCGATGCAGGAGGAATGTGAACCAGTTGGTGAGCATCTTCTCTGCCACAGATTCAGTTCTGCAAGAGGGACACAAACAGTTACAGTAATGACAGTATAAAACAAATTCAGTGACAACTTATGAAACTCATGTTTCGTAGTCCTGTCTTTGAGCTCCAAAAAAAAGTCCTGTCTTTGAGCAAAAAGGTCGGGCCATGATGCCTTACCGTCGGAGCAGCAGCTTGGGATGGTTGCGGTTCTCCAGGTTCTTCTCGATGAGGTCGGCCAGGAGCTGCTTGAGCACAACGGTGGCGTACTCCATTCTGCCCTGCAATGCCGCCATGAGGAGGGAGGCCACGTTGCCGCGGTCACGCATGGAGAAAGACCTCTGGGCCTCAAGAGTGTGGATAAACGTCAGCAGGAACATCTTATTGTGCAGCAGCTGGCTGAAGAGACGCAAGGCCTTCTCCACGTTTGCTGGAGACTGGAGAGAGAGAGAAACCGTGAGAGAGAGGGGGAGAAAAAGAGACAGGAGGCTGTATTAAACAGAGGAGAGAATGAAGAACAAATCACATTGTGGTGCTGGAGAAGGCGATGGGGTGAATGAAACAGCTGAGAACAATGGGAAGAATAAGTATCCCATTTTTTGCCTGACTGGCTGCTGTAGAATCTCAGCTGTGGTAAAAAAAAAATGTCATTGTTGAAGGACTTGTTCTTTCCTGCTGACTATTTTCAAAACATTTTTTTTTTGAAAAGCACGTCTCGAGACGGCTATTCCACGGGGGCCTTGTGGGGCTGCTGATTTCGGTGTGTGTGCCGGAGGTTTTAATTAAAAAGCGTGCAGAGAGCGGCACGTTTGCTCTGAAGTACACTACTGAGACAGCGCTAGTGCTGCGCTGCAGCTTAGGGGAGCTTTTTAAAGCACATCCACCAGCTTTTTTTTACTCCTCCTTCTTGTTTGGCAGCAGGATTAAAAGAAAAAGGGGGGGTGGGTAGTTCTGGCAACCTACTTACTGCACATCTAAGTGTCAGACAACACCTGGGGACAGACAGACACAGTGAAATAAAGCAGAGATCTACAGTCAGGTTCTCTTACATCGAGCTCCTTCAGAACCGGGTGCTCCTCAATGCCTGGGAACATCACTCTCATGGTGTAGGTTCGGTACTCCAGGAAGGGGATCTTCACGCCGTCCATGTCGTTGGTCAGCTCCTGGATGTCCGTCTGCAGTTCGGCGAAAGCTGGAGAAGGAGGAGGTCAAAAGTGCATTACAGTTTAAGTGTCAGCACTGTAAATATATAAAGGGTATGCTGAGTTTTTGTGCCAGTTTCATATTTTGCCCACGATTCATACGAGCCTAAAAGCACAGCTTATGTGCTGTGTGCATGGGAAAACAAAGATGCAGAAAATGCAAAATGCATTTCTCTCCTTTATGCCTATGAGGGAGAATCATGCAAAATAACGTCAGTGCATATTGCTCTTGCGTCAAGGCACATTTTGCGCTGTATGCACATCTGGGCCTAAATGTTCCTGTACCAGATGTCCGAGATTCCAGGCTTTGAAAGAAGCTCACCTGAGTTGATTTTAATACTACAGTGATATCCAGTTAAATCAAGCAGGAGCAAATTCAGCTATGCACATTTTCATCAAAAAAAAAAAAACAATTTTTCTTTGTATTGTGTCAGAGTGAAGCATCAGGAACTGCCCTCATTAAAGGTGAACAGAAATGTAAATTATAGATGTTTTAATCTCAATTCATTAGCAAATGTCAACCTCAAATTTCACCACGATTTGATTTCATCACAAAGCCACTACTTCTGCAGCAGTGCAGTACTGACAATAAAAACACATCAACGATGAGAAAACATCTCCAAATGAGAAATGTGAGACATATTAACTAGATATAAGATTTCCAAGACATAATGTTTTAAAGTGAAACCTTTTTTTATTTTTGCATTTGAAAATAGCCCAAGACTTTTATATTGTAAAAAAATACAGCAGATACTTTACTGAATATTATAATCAATAATAATATTAATAATAACAACAACAACAACTTTATTTATATAGCCCAGGGGTGTCCAATCTTATCTGCAAAGGGCTGGTGTGGCTGGGATTCATTCCAACAAAGCAGGACTGCACACTTAGCAATGATTAAACAAGTGGAATCAGGTGTGTCCAGCTTGTTTGGAAGGAAAACTTGCTGCCACACCAGCCCTTTGTGGCTAAGACTGGTCACCCCTGGTATAGCCCCTTTCATCCTGTTAGTAGCTCAAAATGCTTTGATCAATTACAGTTTGAAAATACTGCAGTTGAACTGCCACTTTGATGCATTTGTACAGCTCCAGTGCACATAGACAAAAACTGCTCCAAAACAGACAGAACTGCTCCTTATTGTTGCTTTAAATGAATGCATCTTCAGCGCTGCTCTATGGCTGCCTAAGCTACATAGCAGATCCCTCTAAACCCACGAATAAAACCAGCTTCAAAGGATGAGGACATTATGACGCCATGACCCAGTTCAATCGCTCCACAAAGACTGCGTCAAACCCTGCATCAACTTCAGGCCTGCATTACACACATGCGCACACACACACTGCCTGATACTGGCTGTTATGAAACGACCGCAGTGTGATAAAGATGTGAAGGGGTGGAAGATGCTGAGAAGAGAGTCCTGTGAATTCGAGCGCGTGCTAAAAGCTTCATGTAAACCTCAATGGCCGAAGAGACTTGTGCACGCAGCCTCGGGAACCGGAGCAGATGAAGCAGATGACTGAACAGTGAAGAACAATGGTAAAGAACTGGGTTCAGATGTCACCACTGCATTAAAACATTAGCAGCCAATTAAAAAGCTTTTAACTCCCCATCACGCCTGATAGCTTGGCACTAAGGGTGATACTGTAACTAAGCAAACCACAAAAACTCCAGCGGCCTGTCTGCACATCATATTTACATTCACTCATTTAGCTGACACTTTTGTCCAAACAGCTTACGTTTCCTCGAGGTTAACTGCCTTCCTCAAAGGCACAGTGACAGGAACCATCAGCATTTCATGACTTGTAGAGCCATGGGCTGTGTTCACACTACAGGGTTGAAACTGCAAATACAGTGTTTTGCTGTGTGATGTCTGCACTGTGTGCAGTGCATTCTTATTGCATGTAAAAGTGGCCCAAATCCGAATTACTGAACAGATCTGATTTTGTTGTTTGGTCGTTCACATGATCTTTTTTTTTGTGATCTACACCTGACATTAGTCTGAGCAGACTTCTTTCCTGAACTAACAGACTCCTTTAACACAACATTTAACGTAATGTGTGCAAACTGCTGCTTTAAATCCGAAGTGCAAACAGCAGACTATGCTGGACAAAGTTTACAGAAAAGAAGCTTGTTTACCTGCCATAGGAAATGTTCTAGCAAAGGGATGCAAACACAGTCCCAGAGCGATGAGACCTGATCTGTGTGAGGCTCCTTTTTTAAAATATCCTTGAAGTAAACATGATTTTGAATAGCTGTTAAGTTTGATTCTTACTGTTAAAAAGTGCTTATTTGTTTACGCCTCCCGCGATTGTCCCACTTGTCGTCCAAAGATACGGACTGTAACCATAGTAACGCATTTTTATGACATTGCCATCTGTTGACATTGTCATCGCAAAGATTTGTTCCTGCAAAATTATGATGAGGGTTGAGTTGGAATGATGTAAAAGTGACATGAATTCTGATCCGACGAGGTCACAGTGCTGCGTATCAGATAACATATTGGATTTTAGTGCCACATAGTTGAATTGACACTGTCAGATTCATGGTTTTTGCTGCTCACACTGTCACAGCATCTGTGAATGTGACGAATCAGTGTCACATATGAACACAAAGGTCAGATTTGGGCCAATTTCGTCTACTGTATGAACGTAGTAGCCTTTGACTTTGTGGCTGTGTTCACACTGCCACATTGTATAGACACAAATTTTCTGCCTTCATGTGACACGGATCTCGTGTTGTCCATGTAAACATGTAAAATGTTGTGCAGCAGGGGTGCCAGAAAAGAAAACTTTAATTAACATTAAAGTATGTTTACTAATTGATGGTAAAAAAAGCATAAAATTAGTCATGTAATTTCTTAGAAATACTGCCTTTACTGGAATTTAACAGTTTCACTAAACTAGTTATTCTGACATGCAGTATTTTACCATAAAAGTAACCAAAGTAACAACCATTAAAATAAAAGCAAATGTCTGTGAAATAAAGGTGATAATGTTGTGAATTTACATTCTAGTTCTGTAAATTGAGAACAGCAGTGTTGAAATACAGTATATGTATGGTTTATTTACATGCTTTTAACCTTTTTTCAAAAAACTAAAAAAAAAAAATAATGTAACTAGTACTAATTTAAAAGTACTTTGAGTGAAAATACTTTTTTTTTCTTACCAGGTGTAGCTTTCTGGAATTTTGAGAAATCGTTTTATACGCTTAATAAAGATGGTTCTTCAAGGGTTCTTTAGTAAAGGAAATGGTTCTAATAAGAACCATGAGGTCTATATGACCCAGACTGCGCAAATACAGTGTATATACCATTAATCTGGGGTAATGTGATATCCCCCCACCTTACTTCTCAAATTTTGATATTAGCTCATTCTCCAATAGGTGCATCTCTTCGTCCATCAATTTGGTCATCGCATGATGACCTCACTTCTAAAAACTGGCTTCAACAGGTTTTTACCAGCCTGCTCTACCTTTCAAGGTCAACTTGCCCCTCTCTTCACTGGGTCAGTAGGTACACACAGGCCTCTCTGTGAACCCAGCTGCTTTCCAGTGTCTAGAATCTCCTATGCAGATGGTCTAAGGCCAACCCTTTGTGAAAGAAGGGAATATTCATTCAAAATCTCCATCATTTCCCCCATTTTCATAGTTTACATTGAACCTTATAATTGATTAATATGTTCAACATACCAAACAGTGAGTAATGCTGAATTACATATTATAAATGTTGAAAGAGTAAAATAATGAAAATAAAAGAAAAATAAATAAAATCAAAAAGTAAATAGAACAAACCAAAAATCAAATCCATTAGCAAAGTAGTTCAAAGTAAAAAAAAATCAAATCAAAATAAAATAAAAACACAAATAGTCATTTCCCTCCTGAAATGATCATTGTTTGTGCATTGGAACCTGTCAGGCAGTGTAAATTATACTGCTAATCTCACTACTAATTTATTAGCCCAATTATCAGTCTGGTGAACTTTTTGTATAGGGGGTGAGCATAGCTGCATAAGGCACGGCAAATCCGGGTCTTCCTGGTTATAAAGCTCCTCAGAGCTACTATACAGGCTCTTTAAGTCCCACATACCAGGTGTCCCAAAAAAGCCAGTAAGCCCAAAAAGCCACAATTGGACCGTTCCAGTCCCAGCTCTCAACCCCAAAGAGGCAACTGGTGTCTTGAACCCAACTTCTTGGATGTCATTAGCCAGCATCAGCCTGAAAGCAAACCAGACCCTTGAAATAGTTAACAAACATATTTACTTGCCAATGTATTATAACATTTCCCAAAACACAAACTAATGCCACTAAAGGATAGAATGAAACATCAAAATATAAAGAAAACTTAAAAAAAAAGAATACATGGATTAATAGGCCATCACTCAGTCCTAATTAATTCCTTGAGCTGGTGCAACACGGCAAGTTACATGAAAGTTTTTTACTGGCTGTAGGTAACACAGGAAAATATCCTATAATATTCCCCACAATTTTGACAGTCATGCTGCGTACCAAAGGTGTAACACAACACTCCAAAAATAAAACCACAGGAATAACCAAAAGAATCATACCCATTCTTAATAAGATAGCTGTCCACTGACTCGAGAATAACCTTTTAAACTATCCCCCCAGCAAATAGAGAAGGACCTTTAGTATTTTCCACATGTTCATTCCTAAGTGCCCTTAATTGATCCATTACTTTCGTGAAATTACCATTTACTGCTGTATGTACTGAAATGTAACTACAGCAATCATCCCCAAAAAGAACATATACGCTCTCATCAAGAACTCTCATAATGTCAATTGCAAACCCATTTCGTAGTGCCATACGAGAAGTAGCATCTAGTTGCTGACCCAGCAATTCTAAAGCTTTGATAGTGTAATTCATTGATTTGATTATACCAAATATAATTTATCCACTTGGCATTTTGTGATGTTTGAATACCTGGCAAAAACACAGATAAATCTCCTTTGCTCTCATCTGACATGGCTTTAAACTCTGGTGGTACATTAACAGGAACACCTGCCCAATTTAGTGTTGGTTTGTTTACTTGCCAAGTAATGTCTTTCTTATGTCTCGTTGTTATTTCTCCCCATGCAAATATAAGAACAATCCCACTAAGAGTAAATGGAGCACAATTATCTGATAAGCATTGTAGTAGATCTTCTCCTTCTTTACAAATCCTAAATATGTCTGCTACAGGGTTAGATCCTACAGTAAAGCCTATGTCAAAGGTAACATTCTATTTATTGTTTATTTGAATAGTGGCATTCAACTTTCTATCGTATCTAGTAGCAAAGCTATTAATCTCATTACTTTCTTCTAGACAAAAACAAAATGGATCTTTAATCTACCAGCCTTAATTACCAGAGTTGGAGCTGTAAAAGGTTTGCTTATAGCTGTACAATTGTCGAAACCCTTGTTTCTAAAAACCTTTGGGCTTAAACTATCCAGTAAACAGAGTAAAGACAGATTGTAACACTTTCCCAACACTCTTCTAATCCTCCTATAGCCACTACAGTTGGTACATGTTTGGAATGGCAAGTTATACAATCTTCATGTTGATTTCAGCAGTATAGCGTAAGTAATGATACAGTATATTTTGGGAAGCATATTCTGTGACAACCATCCCTTTTTCTTCAGATTAGCCTCATCTAATGTGTCTTCTATAACTTGTTATCCTATTTTCATCATCTCATGTGCCTTCCATTTTTGAACAACATCTCCTTTGGAATTATTTCTATCAATAGTCTTATAACAGATGATTGGTTTACACTTATATCCTTGACAGAGGACTAACTCACACCTTGCTCCTACTGTCATTCTTATTGAAACTTTACATCAATCAGCTTTTAAAATCCCTATTCCTCTTATTTTCCCTTTAATGTCTTTTAAATATGCTTTGGTACCCGTGCTCCTATATGTTACATATGTTAATCACCTGCTGGCAGTGAGTGATTATTACTAAGGAGTAGCAAAGAGATAAAACACATTGTAGCCCATTGTTTTCCCTGCTAGGTGTAACACTTGGTCCAACACAATTAGGCTCTTGTGTACAATTGGAAATACCTGGAAACCATTGACAACAGCAAACTGATTTGCATTTGCATGTCCCTTTTGTCACTCTCCATTCATGCAACACCTTGAACTCATTCGGTGTCACACGCAATCCTTGGCAAACTTTTTGGCTAGTAATTGGACAGTACTGTTCACAGTGCATGCCATTAGTCAAGTTCCATGTTTGGCACGCAAGAGAGTATTCCGGTTACGCTGTTTTCATCCACTCATGAGAGTTCTGGATCTGATTGTGTGCACGTGAGTCATTTTTCAGACAGTGTGGAGGGTTGTGTCTCATGTAGAACATGCACACTGTCAGACCCAGCAGAACACAAGTGATGAAAAAAGCAAATGACAACAGCAAGAGGTTGACGATTGTGTTTTCATGTTTCCTCACTTCAGTCATCCATGTCCGAGTCCACATTATCACCGTCCGATGGTGCCAGTGGTGTCTCAGTGGGCTTGGGCTCTTGTTCTTGGTCTGGAAGTTCCACTTTGTCCAGGCTCTTGGGAGTCATCATCCTTGTGGATGTGTTCTTCTTGTTGTGCTGGTGGTTGTTCAGTTGCTGGCCTCAGCGCAAACGTTGCTCTGGAACAATGGTTTAGATGGACCCACATCTTTCGTCCTTCCACTTTAACTGCAGTTGGAGTTGCTAGGACCACCTTGGAAGGACCCTCATGTCTTGGTTCAGTCCAGCCTCTTTTGAAGACCCTTATGTAGACATAGTCTCTGGGCAGCACTTGTTTGAGCTGATCTCTAATATCTGACCTTCTTCCCTCAGTGGCACCTTTCACATCATTGAAAATTTCTCTATGGATTTTAGTCAAACATTTTACATATTCGTGTGACCCTGTGAGCATTTCATAAGGGGTCAAATGAGTGATTCGATTGGTAGTCACTCTCATACTCATTAAAGCTAATGGTAGATTGTTTAGCCAATTAATTTTCAGTTCGCTCGCTGCACATATCTTAGCAATTTTAGCTTTAAGAATTCCATTTTGACATTCAACTATGCCCTGCGATTATGGATGATATACACATCCCAATCTACATTTAATCATTAATTAATAATTAATGTCTGTGTGATTATGTCAATAACTCTTCTCTAGGTTTTAAGAAGGTTGTGGTGAACTATTCACAATGATGTGGTATACCTTCTTCAGGCGTAGCTAACCTCTCTGCTGGATTCACTCTGGAGCATCTCTGTATTGTCAATTCAGGGCTGAAAGAATTACGTCATATCCTGTTTGTCTAGCATTAGTCAACACAAAAGAGTTAGATGTTAATAACATGTGTATCACATTGTTATGGATGTTGCTTTCTCATATGTCAATGATGCCGCTTCTAAGCCTTGATACACTACCTTTAGCTAACAAACTGAAAGGTATTACTTCTTTCTTTTGTTATAACATGGCTAGTGTGTTTCCCATAATATATCTACTTTCCTTTAATTAGTAAAATAATCTGTATTGTAGCCTCTATGTGCAGACTGGGAGTGGTCTGTGTGTGTGTGGTGCTCCAACTGTACTAGATTAATTGCTGTTCTTGTGTGTTTGTTATCTCATGGCCCGCTGCTAAGAGCCCCCCCTT